TTTCGCAACTCTTAGCTTAAGATGTCATTCACAATATTTTTATAAAAAAATTTTACCAATTCCGATTTTCTTATGTAATTTTATTAATTATTTACTTTTTGCATTTGTTTGTTTATTTACTTATCTGGATTTTTTATCTGTATTTTTTTTGAACTTGCAATTTTTAGCTTAAGATGTAATTTTTCGCAATATTTTTGTAAATTTCTCTATTCCATTTCATACTGTAATATTATTAATCAATTTGTAATTTAGATGTAATTTCTCGCAATATATTTGTAAATTTCTCTTTTCCATTTTATACTGTAATGTTATTTATCTATTTATCTTTCATATGTATTTTTCTATATATTTATATATATTATAAGACATCCTGTAATTGGCTTCCGCTGTTGGATGATTTTCGAAATAAAATAAAATAAAATAATAAAATAAGTATGAATGCACAACATAGAAATGTATATGTTGGCATAATAGACATAAACAAATTCTTATTTTGAATATTTCGAGCACTCCTGTGCTCTTCTTCAGCGATAACATATACAGTATATGTATGTATGTATACATCCATCATCATCTATACCTATATATATCAACATTTTTACATCCTAATATATAAATGAAATATAACTATGTTTTTAAATTATCAAATGCATCTAGGCAGACAAACATTTTATTTTTATTGAAAGTGATTATTATCGATGGTTGATGTGTTAACAAAACAAACTATAAAAAATCTTGACTTAACATACTAAAAAAATTACATAATACTACTCATATACCTCTGTAACTAAATCGTGTGTGATGACAAAGTATATTGTAATCCTCCGTCCGGAACTTTCGCATGTTACGTTTGTTAAACAGATCACGACCCAGATAATTTCCAATTACTGGCAACACAAAATTCAAATCCTTCACATCTCCATAACGAAATAAAATATTCTGGACAGTACTGCTACTACACTTATGCATCTTGAAAAAAGCAATATTTGTTCTAGGCTGGCATTGCTGGCCCTCCAGAGGGAGCTGTTTGATTGTGTCCAGAGTTTTTGCTGGATTCAATTTTGCTGACGATAGGCGCATGGCTACATCTTTGTTTACCACCTCAGGTGATTTCTTTAATATTGTTGTAATGTTTGATTTATTTTCAAGTAATGCATTCTTTAAAACCTGAGGAAAAAAATACACATTATAACAGTAAATTATAAAGGTAAATTTTATATAATGGTTATTGTTAATATAAAATGACATCATTCTCAGCACACACTAAATTAAAATCAGACTGGCTATTATTTCATAATTAATATATTATTGTCGTTGTTTTCTGAAAATGACATGCGATTATAATTTTTAAAAAAAGGTATGATGCAGGGTAATTTTTCCAATAAAGCATTCAAATTCAATAACATTAATTGTAAATAATAATTTACATTTGGTTTGTAAACTGAGCTCCACACCAAGTTTCATTCAAAGTTCTCAATACTGGTATTTGCATACTTCGAAATGAACTGCATTTAAGAAGGGGTGGTCTTATACCTGAGTAAGGGGTCATTCAAGTATTATGTAATGCAGGGGGGTGGGGTATAGTGGAAAATGTTACATAGGGGTGGGGGTATTGCTTGAAGTGTTACATAACAAAAATTAATTTTCATGGGAAGAGAAGAAATATTAAATATTCAAACTTGTATGATATTACTTTATTGAAACATATTACATCAGTGTAATACTGTACAATGTAATGTAACACAGTTGTGTTGAATTTGTTAAATCAATAAACAATGAAGTTACATCTACCATATAAAAAAATAACAAAATATCCTACACATTTGTAGTGTAGGACAAATTTGTAGTGGAGGACATTTATCCTGATACTTAATGTTGTTCATCTGATTTTATTAAAATTGTTGATGTTCGGAAGGGGGGGGGGGGGGGGAGGTGGTTCTAGAGTTACATAACATTTAGAGGGGGGGTTTGGAAAAGTGTTACGGGGGAGTGGGGAGGTGTCAATATTTGCCAAAAAATGTGTTACATAATACTTAAATGACCCCTAACTACAGATATGACTTAAAATTATTCTTTCAATTAACATTTATGAGGGTGAAATGTCAAGTAACAAGCTCAATTTGCCAAAATGCCTGAAAATTTTATCTTTATATTTCTGATAAATCTTTTTTTTCATTTGGTTAACAAAATATTCCTACCATACTTCTTTTATCGAAATTCATCATCTAATAATAATAATAACAATATTATATATGACAAATTTCATTACACCGGATATTATACCATGCTAATTAATAGACATTATGAATATTTTAACGGGCTTGGCCGAGTTGTAGGTGAATCCCACAATTTAAGCAGTCCTTGCACATGACTGGGTGTGAAACCAATCAATTAGCACACTCTAAAGACCATTCACACCACCTCTAGGGACTATGCTAATACTAGTTAAGTGTTTAAGATGTATTTCTGATGGCACTTAGGAATACGGTTGTCGCGGTAAGAACTTATGCCAAAAAAAAAATATGCTTGGCAAGGCAAATATTTTATTCAAATAACTTCAATTGGCTACATTTTTTCAATTTATTTTTACTGACTTGACGTTAACGAGCATATTATGTTAATTTTAAGACTAATTTTGAAAAGAAATACACAAATTGATTCCATTGCAAAATAGACAAGATGTATCTAGTCAAAGCAGCTTAATACTTGTACAGTAGTGTATTTAACTTGTCATTCTTTGTTTGATATGACCAACTGAGTTTAAAATAGATTTAAAAGAAGTTAAGGATATTAAGACCTAGTAGAGCTCTAGCCTACTGTGTGTAAAAAAAAACCCATCAAATAATTAATTAGAATATTTAATTGCTAGTTTAAATAGATAAAATATGTTAATAACTTCTAGTGAGGCATAGAAAGTAACTCATTTGTCACACAATCACACAATACGATTTATAGAATCGCACAAAATATCATCATAAAGTATTGTATTATACAATCTACTGGACTTTATATGAAAAATTAAAAACTCCACCACTTTAGTGGTGATCTGGGAGCTGACAAGGGAGGGGGGGCCTGATGGAGATGTAAATGTAAGTGGGAGAGGGGGGCTTGATGATTAAGTAAAGGTGAATTAGCTGTAAAATAAGGTGACTTTTAACTACCTGAACGTAACTTTCTTGTTCAGCCTACCTAAAGCGGCACAATCTTTTTATTGGAGATTTTTTCCCACCCTGTTTACCTCACTGTACCACATGCTCCAACCAAAAAAGTGAACCTCACTTTGTATAGCATGGTTGTAGTCAAATAAATATACATAATACTATTATCACTGACTGTTACAATCCTTAATTATCATTTCTAGACTAATGTCACACACACGAATATTTATGAATCAGTTACTATATGTGGCAAAGACAAGCCAAACCAGTCACTCCTCGCAAATCGTGTTTTGGAGATGATGGCCAAAAATATGCTGGAACGTCAAATTTTTGAAATCTATTTTATTGCACTAACTAACCTTTATATATCTATACATCAATCAATGTTGTTAATTTCCCCATTTCCAATGTTAAAACAACAATTGTTAACGATTTGGTGATGGTTTCTGACTGAGAAATGCCTGAAATCGTAAACTTTGAATGCTGATTTCTTAAATACTGTTCTTTAAACAGTTCTATGTTTAAACTCCTGTAACTTCATAATGAAATGTCGGGTTTAAATGATTCTTTTACCGTTATATAGCTCTCATTATACTGTTTAACCCTGTATTAATAACCGAAAATCAATTTTTGCGAGGAGTGACTTGTTTGGCTTGTCTTCGCCACATATATATTATTTAATATGATCCATTTAGTCTAAGCCAACTTAACATTGTGCATTACTATTAGAAGCCAAATTGGGATCCAATCAAGTTACCCACTCAGAAAGTCACCCCTAAACAACTCGCCTCCTATCCAAATTTTCCTCACAAAGTCGTCACCTAACAATGTGCATCCTAATAAAGTCGCTCCCTCAGCTAGTTTTCATTTTCCCAAAATAAATCAATTGAATATTATATTAATAAAACAATATTACAGAGGAATATAGACTTGTATACTCAATGTAAATTTGCTGTACTACAAATATTGTTATCTATTTTTATTATTATCACTATTACCCTTTGAATTATGATTATTTTGTGTCCTTGTTAATGCAATTTATGTTGTGTCGTTCCACTTGGGAGTGCAAATGGGTACCTGCTAGGTTTGAAACGTCAAGGCGCTGATTAGCTGCTGCAACGTTATGTCACGCTGTCCTCCCCCAGTAAGCTGAGTATGTGTTTTTAGAGGTGTTTAATCCAGCGACTGGGGCAATGATGTGAAGGACATAAAAGATGTTGGCTTTACGCCCTATATAATTCTAAAATATTATTATTAAGGAAACAGCAACAATTTATTTGTGTTGTGTAAAGAGTAAAAATGAAAGATTGAATTGTAATGTAAAGTACTTGCCTAAAGGCAATGTTTAATGTCAGAGATATAACACATAATTACCATCAAAATGTGTTATTGCGTGTTCATGATGCCTTATAGATTCTAACTAGGTTAGAAAAACAGTTATTCTACTAGAGTAGAACATTAATAGAACATGTTGAGAATGATACTGCTCCCATTAGATTTGTTTAGTGTCATTTAAGAGGGGGGGGGCGTTTATTCGAGGAAAAAATAAACGCACCAGGGTGATTATTCAAGGGAGGCATTTGTTCTAAATGAAGCTCTGCAGGGGGCATTTATTTGAGGGGTGTTTATTCAAAGCAGGGTGTTAAACACGGTGTGTAACTTATACAAACTCTAAAGAAGATGCAATATTTGCTTAATATTTCATGCTTTATTGAAACTTCATCAGGAATTCGTAACTTGCATGTACTAACGCTCACAAATATCATTTCATATTCTTTCAATTGATGTGATATCTCAATTTGCATTCAAATGTCAACGGATTCATGAGGACACTAATCTCCTTTGGGAACATATCCTCATTTGGAGTAGATGTACTGACTGCCTGGCTTTAGCAACGCAATCACAATTTGACAGCATCATCTCAGACATAGCAAGAAAACATGAAAGTGTCAAATACGTGGCGTCGTTTGTGCAAACATTTTTGATGTTTCAAAAACTGTTGTGTACAGTACATGTATTAATTGATTTACATATTCTTTATTAATTATTTAATATGTTATTTTTCTGAGGTTGTTGTTCTTAGAGAGCCATTGTGTCAAATATAATATACCATAAACCAATACACATTAAATAAACAAAATTAAACTTTAAAAAATAATTAAAATAGAAGTTAGTTGAAAAACCTCATTACTTTATTTTTAGAATTTATTATTTTATTAATTTATTTATCTTATTATTATGACATAATTATTTTACAAAAGTGTATGTTCAAACAACTAATAATAATCATTATTATTATTATTATTATTATTATAATTACTATTATTATTATTATAATTATGGGAACTGTTCTCACCACAAGTATGTATTTAAAATAATAAGGAAGTTTTATATAAAGTACTATTTTGCTTTTTGCTGACATAACTATAGCAGAAAGTTAATAATATATATTATATATAGGTAATTTGATAATATCTAAAACAAACCTAGCCAAAAATTTATACAAAATAATTCATTCCTGCATTTATTTTCATTCAGTCATTCATTCACTTACTTATTCATTACTTTATTAATTCATTCATCATAAATTCAGTTAAAAATGCATTCATTCATTCATTTATACATTCATTTCGCTTTTACGTGCATTCATTTTTCTATACATTCATTCATTCATTTGTAAAATCTTCACTTGTATATTTGTTCATCATTTGTTCATCCATTCATTTGCTTATTCATTCATTTTTTTATTTGTGGTACTGATTGATTGATTGATTGATTACTACATGAATGAATGAATCAATCAATCAATCAAGCAATTTATTTTAACCAATTTAAACAACCTAGGAATTAGTTGACTCACTTACTGGTTTATCTATGACGACCGTGTCTTGCAATGCATGCCAAAGCTGCATAGCACCAAAGTCATTCCGGCTATAAACGAAATCACATCACAAACATTAGTTATTGTATTATATAATAGTAACAGGCCTACTAATGGTATCAGTATTGCCAATGCTCATAAATCATTCTCATCACATAGCAACTTGTGTTAGCTGTTGGTGACAGGTGTGCTCAAATCAATTAGCACTATTGTAATCAATGACTTGCAGTGGTGGTATATGAATAATGATGTAAGTGGAATATAATACATATGGGGGAAAAAGAGTATCTTTTTTAAAGGTAGAAAGTGTTCATTTCTTATACAAATGAATTCCAACAAAAACAGCAATAACAAAAAGGTAATAAAACTTATTTTATAGACAATTAACAAAATTCATGATGCAAATAAAAATGGTAGGCTAATCTGCAGTGGTGGCACTAGTGTCTGAAATATCTTGGGGTGGGGGGCTAGTGAGGGGAAAGTTAGGGGCAAGGTAAAATTTTATGGGGCATAAGCAATTTGTAAATTAAAAACTTTTTTATAGACGTAACGAAACTCATGATACAAATAAAAATAGTAGGCCTAATCTACAGTGGCAGCGCTAGGCCTAAAATCGGGGGAGGGGAGGGAGTGAGGGGGGAAACTTGGGGAAAGGTAAAATTTTAGGGTGAAATATGTTTTCTCATAGCAGACCGAATATACAATTATAATTTATAAAATCACAACATTAGCAGGTAACATGTCTATCCCTGTGCTTGTTATTTTTATATTTATTACAATGTAAAAAGTTTGTTAAATGCATTGTTTTTATGTGGCCAATGGCCTTAAAATGATTGAGTAGGGCAAACTGGAAGTAGGGCAAACTGGGGGGGGGGGGGGGTGGAGAGAAAATAAACTAATCTGGGGAAAAATTCCCCCTTGCCCTCATAGCACTGCCATTGCTAATCTAATTAACCTTTGTGTATTGTTTTAAATTGAAGCTGATTGGAATACAGATAGGAGCATGGTCAAATTTTTTAGGCCCCTCTTTGGGTTCCACCCCATCCCCTTTGGCATGGACCTTGCCATTGCCAACCCCTTCCCTTCAATTGGTGCCCTTGCAACCGCTCCACCTTGATGGTCCCTACCATCCCCTTCATATTGGTGGGACTACAAACATCTTCTCCTTGATGTGCCTGGAGTGAACCTCTTTCAGTGGGTTTGGCCCAGCTGAGCACTTCCCATTAGTGACCCGTTAGAAAAGATCCAAATTACACATTTGATTGTAGAAATCTGATTTAAAAAATCAATTATTATTTCAGTGTCTATTCATTCATTAAGATCAACTTGGGCAGTGATAATACTAATTTTAAACTCTGTTACATAAAGAAAACATCAAGCACAAATCTAGTGACGGTGTCGAAACTGGAGTGATTAAATTGTCACTTGTCATATTCTAATATTTCACAGCCTGATTTTGATACATTCAACTCAAAAAATACTTCAGCATTGGGGATCATAAATCAAATTCCGATAGTTAATTCCTAGTTTTTCAACAACTGGTACTACAGAAATTAAAATAAACATACTCGTTTGAACATGAACGAAATACAACATCATGTAAAAACCATTATTGAAAGTGGTGATTATATGATTTTCGATGATAATAATGAGGAGGATTGTGATGATGATGATGATGTCATCATGATAATATGAGGATGATAATGACGAAAAAAAAGCAATATTCATGTAGATGATGATGAGATGATGATTATGATGATGAATATTGTTCTTGATATGATGATGATGATATTAATGATGAGATAAGAAAATAAGATGATGAAATGAAATAAGAGAATGATGCATAATGTGATTACTGATAGTGATGATGCTGATAATATAATCTATTATTTTTATTTATTTTACAATAAATTATTTTTTTTTAAACCTACCTATTTTCAGTTAAATTATTGAAATTGTCTTCGTAGTTGTAGACTGTACCAAAAATGATGAAAAATATAAAGATGACAAGTATCAGTACATTCCTCTTAGAAAGCCGCGACATAACTGCCTCTCAATCTACCTACATAGATAATGATGGACAATATTATAATTTAAAAAAACAAGATTAATAAAAAATGGAGGTATAGTAGGAATAACATTAATTTCTAGCTTTACCAACTGATGGAAGTGACCTGATTGAAGGAACATATTATTATATTTGTTTTATGTTCATTTCTAAAATTAATTTCTAAATTTAAAATATCTACTTTACTTATTGTCTGCGTATCCAACACCAAGTTCACTTCACAGTTTGTCAAAAAAAATTGATAGCATGGGGGGCGGGGGGGGGGGGGGGGGGGGGGGGGGGGGGGGGGGGGGGCGAGCTGGCCTGGGCTTACTTTCGGGTTTCAAAAAAATGTAATATGGATAAATTATGCTTAATGCATACACGACTAATGAGAAAATACTTTATTTACTTGTTTTGTTTATTTTAGGCAAAAACATTAAAAATATTTCATTCGATCCAATCAGCGCAGTTGACGGTGGCAGAGCCGAATAACTAGCTCTTGGTGGACCCCACTGGACCCCAGCATACTGCCCTGTCGTCATGAGAACACATGCGTGTGGAGGGCCTCAGACGACAACTGTGCTGTCCTGATATCACATGATTCACCATTGTATGTTTATTTACATATAAATATATGTATAATATATATATATATATATATATTATCTTGATCCATGTTTTTAATACATATATGTATATATATATATATATATATATATATCTGTCTCTTATACACAT